TTGTCAGATAATCGAAGTTGCCCCCCTCACTTTTGGTCAGTGTAGTTTTTTTTTTATTTGCTTGTCAGATTTTTTTTTTTTTGGGGGGGGGGGTTGCCTTTTTGGAAACTGTTGCTACCGCCTGCTAAAATCAGACTGTTTAAAGATAAGAAATTAGTTGCAGCTTAATCTAATTAAAATTAGATCTGTATACCAGCTCTGTAGAGCGTTTCGTAGACAAGCGGATATACAAATCTAATTTTAATTAGATTGAGTTGCAGCCTTTTTTGTCATTCTTTATCACATAATATGATATCATGAAAAGAATACAAAAAAAATATACATGCACAGAGAGCAATTATCTCAATTTAATAATTAATAATGTACTCTGCATTTTTGAAAAACGACAAGGTATACCAGCTGACGTTATCACCTTAAAAGCCTTATTAACAGCGATTTTCAAATCGACATTCAATAATGTGATGTATTTGTCTGCTTTCAGAATTTTCTTTATTTTACGAAACACTGCTTCCACTGAGTTCAAATCGGGGGAATATGTAGGCAAAAAATAAATAAATAAATAAATATTCGACGCCTACTGTTGGCAAATAATTGTGAAGCTCCCTTTCTGCCCTGTTGTGGTGTATTGCTGCGGTGTCAGCTATCAAAACATCCCCCGGGTGAAAGACAGGATCCCCCTCGCAGAAAAACTTTGAGTAACCTCTAATTAAATGGCGCTTGTCCAATTGTCCAATCAGGGATAATGAGAAACTACCAATCAAAAAAGCTTTCGGTTTGGAGGCGTGTACTATTTACCTTGAGTGCAGCTGTCAAAGTAGGCTGTGACGTAATGCTAAACGGTACAATTCAATGGAATTGATAATAATTTGTGTATGGCTTTAACAATCCATATGAGTGAAAAATTCTAGAAAGAGACGTTAAACAACACACATACAAAAATGATAAATAATACTTGAAAAAAGTAACATTCCACTGTTTATAGTATTACACCATTGAAGCCATGCATTTCAGGCTTTATGGAAAGTCAGACATGTATATATATACATGATATATATGGATTGCTTATATATTAAGCAATGTCTGCTACCAAAATCAATCATATATTTTAGGTTAGAGGTGTAGCACTAGCTAGAACCCCCAGTGTTTCTGTGCTGAAAGTGACTGGTTAATGATCCATGCAGTGATGCACTATACCGCTCACCATGCAGTTGTATTACAAGCTAGCTAGCACACAGCAGAGGGTGATTAAGGATCAAAGGGTGCATATACTACTAAAGCAAGCAAGGGTGCATATACTACTAAAGCAAGCAAGGGTGCAAAGTGTTAGGATTAAATATATGTGGGAACATTTATATAAAGCAGTGACACATTTATGCATCAGACACATAGACCAACAGCTGTAAAATAGATTAACGGATTTTTTATGCATTTATTATATCAATATGAACATGCAAATTACAAGATACAATACTTGAATACTCGCACCATGAACAAGTTAGAACACTGGGAAAAGAATATTTGCTTAAAGAATGCTATAAAAAATACATGTATTTAAACATGTTACTGCAACAGAGGAAACGATAAAATTTTTGAATACCGTATGCTTTCTCTGAAAGTAATGCAATTTCTATTGGGAATGATATCCTTAGGCTAGGAGAATATGTTGAAATCAAAGAAAGAATGAAGAAAAAATGCACTCGAGAGAAATATCATCTAATTAATGTTGAAAATATAAATTTTACAAAATAGCGGGGTTCAAATGTTTGACATACTATTATAATAATGAATACAGAGCATTGAAATATATATGTATTGATTTTTTAAAGAGATTAATTAGTTTTGTTAAAGATTTCAGATCCCCTGTCTTCTTGAGATTGCTTCATCCCCCTTAGCTAGGCCTATCCTTTTGACATGAAGACTGTCGAAACTTCCACTGTACAGCTGCATGACGTAACAATAAAATCTACGTCATTTTTTGATGTACTTGCAAGATTTGCACACTAAATATGAGCTTTTTAACTTGGCAAAACATCATGGCGGATCCAGAAATTTCAAAAAAATAAAGTCTATCTTGATGCATAACAACTTAAATTTTCACGGACATCTCGTGATATATATTTAATGGGTTTGTGGAGAATCTCGTAGGCAATAAATATTAGAATAACATTGATTATATATTGGTTTTGGAAATGAGAGATTAAAATAAAGTAACTGAACTTAAAATATTGATTCCTTTTGTGATAAAGAAAAACGACGTTATCTACACATCGATAATCTGGGCTACAGAATAAACTCCAACCAATAGAGGGGAAAACAATCGAATACCAGTTATAACAAATCCGAATAATTGTCAAAAAAGCCGTAATAAAATGACATCAAAACATATAAAATGATCGAACACAACTTGCTCAACGTGATTAAATCTGTCTAGATACATGTTATAGGCCTATATTAGAGCATTCATCGTGTTCATTGTATATGTAACGTTACCTATAAAATCAGAAAATACTACTAATATAAGCATGATAAGTGTGTAAACATATTCTATATAATTTATAAGATCACGCGTGAATGAATTTTATTCCTGCTCCCGGCAGAGTTTGATAAGATATGCGAATAAAGACATATCCAATAAAATCTTGTAAAGAAAACATGATCCACCGATCAATTTTCATTGTCAGTGCATAGAGAATACGACGTCACAGACACGGAAGTGACGCGGAGACGCCACCTTCTGGAGTAATGGATGTCGTCTTGTTGGAGTCTGTGCTGTAAATAACGCTTAACAGTATTGAGATATGTCGTATTGTAACTTTACAACAGGTGATTTTATAGACCTCCGATACCGCAGGCAGGATTGTGTACGTCTCGATCGCAATCCCTGTGCTTTACAGCGCTGAATTCGGTGAATCGCATAGGTCTACCCAAGTCTCCACTTGGTTTTATTTTCAAGCTGAATTTTTTTGCGGAATAACACTTCAACGGTATTTCTAATGATTAATTTAACGTTCCCAGAGAGGAGTTACGGATTGCATTCCATTTGATGTCTACTTTGGAACAGAACTGCATTCTAAGTTAAGGGTTAGCTTTTCACTGAAAAGCTAAGAGAGGTTAGCTTTTCAGTGAAAAGCTAAGGTGGGTTAGCTTTTCACTGAAAAGCTAACCCCACCCCCCTTCCCTACCGGAAGTAGATCTAGTATATATCTTATTATGAGTTTGAATCTTACATAAATAAAGTTAATAAAAATAAAAAAAAACACCAAAAAAAAAACAGTCACACACAATGCAAAACCAACAAAAGAAAGGAAGACTCTATAAAATGGATATAAATACAGAATATAACAAAGAAACATTATGAGTAATAACTGTACTATCATTACTTAGTCACAATATTACTACAATAGAATTTTTCTCATGTAACTAAGGAATATAGGGTCTACTATAATTCTTCAACAAGAAAAAGGTGAATTCCAGGGAAAATAATTATTCCGAGATAAAATAATTCCTTGTTTGTATTATTATTAATATGTTTAGAGGGCCCCGAGGAATTGCACTAATCGGGTTACCCTCTTTAAATAAAGTATTATTATTATTATTATTATTATTATAACTAGAAAACTGTTGGTTCCATTTTAGTGTGAACTTTTTCTTCAATATGGTTTTATGTACTGGTTAAAAAATCCAAACAGACCTTTCCTTATACAAGTTAAGTTCAATCTACACATAAGTCCAGTCATTTGTTTAAGATTTGCTCCATCAGAAAAAAAAAATGTTGGACACAAAAGAAAAGATAGTAGTAATGAGAGGGTTCCTTTGTTTTGAAAGATCTTATTTTTTGAGTGTGTGAAAGATACAGTCATATATATACATACAAGATTTCTAATCATTTGAAGTTTACATTGAAATCAACCCTATAGTTTGGTATTTGTATGTTTAATTTAATATATACTTTTTTGACCCAATAATTTTTAAAATCTGTTTTGCACATGTGCAGGAAGGAAGTTATCAGCCATATTTAATCATCCAAAAATCTTCCCAGATATGATACAAAACATGGCAGATGAGTTTGCATTTGGTTTCCTTGCCTTCAATGACAATTTTCAATTTTCTGAAGCATGCTCCTTTTGTTCTGATTTAAATTTGGATGTTCTGGACTTTTGTGCTTATGGAAAAGATTTTTTGTGCTTTTTTAAATGTGATGAATTTTTCATATGTAAATATTTTTGTGAGCTGAATGGCTTTGATATAAAGAAGTATGTACTTCAAGCTTAATTTTTTTCCCTCACATTACCAATATAAGAGAGTGCATTTTTTTAAAACATCCATTTACTTGACAACAGGCTATGGAGATGCAGTTTTATGTGCATCTGCTAAGCATTTTAAAAACTTCCAAAAATTTAAGACGCACACAAAAATTGCTGGGATACCCTTGCTTATTTACTAGTAAGTACCAATGTTATGTCATAAATTCACACATGATAAGAAGGTTAATTAGTTTCAGAAAGTATTTCAGGAATTTTAATGCTGTTTGACAAGGTCTCCAAGATGCATATTTTGGGGAAGATTTGTTGCAACTAGAATTGGATCACTGGTCTCAGTTTGGAATTGTATGACTATGCATTGTCAGAATCAACATGGTCAAGGTCTTATCTTGCACACTGTGTGGCCTGGGCCATCAAATGACCAGTCGATGCATCTTTGGAAATGTTTGTTGCAAACCAAAGTATTTCACAATGGTCTTATTTAGGAATTTTATGGTTCTACTTTCTATGCATATTCAAGCCATGTTCACATTTTGCACTCTGTGAGACTCAATTAATAAAGGTAGTCCTCTGACATAGGTAACATAAAAAAAAAATAAAAGACTATAAAAATGAACTTCTATCGATACTTCCAAGACAATTTGATTTTTCAGTTTCCACTGTATCTGTCTTTGCAATATATGATATAATGCATAATACATGTTATATGTAAAATTAGACGTTTTCTTTAATTCACAGAACTTCCTGAACCTTCATCAAAGGATGGTGATCTGGATTATGAATTGGCTGGGAAGGAGGATCAATCTAGTTCCACTGTAGCTCAGGCATCTAGTTCCACAGAAGCTCAGGCATCTAGTTCCAAAGTAGCTCAGGCATTTAGTTCCAAAGCAGATCAGGCATCTAGTTCCAAAGTAGATCAGGCATCTAGTTTCAAAGCAGATCAGGCATCTAGTTCCACAGTAGATCAGGCATCTAGTTCCACAGTAGATCTGGCATCTAGTTCCACAGCAGATAAACCATCTTGTTCAGATCATGAACAGCCCTCAAATTCAGATAGTGAACAGCCACAGTATATTAGATCAAAAGGTAAATAAGTCTTTGGTTTCAAGAATTTGCAATAGTATATCACTTTAAAACAAAATTAAGAAAATGTTACTTTAAAGTGGTTTTTGATCCTTGTTATTATGGATGAAATATATCAAATAAAGAAAAATTTAGCTCACCTGAGCCAGAGACTCAAATGAGCTTTTCTGATAAAAATGTGTCCATTGTTTGACATCGTTGTTGTTATGGTTGTCATTGTAAACTTTTAACAGTGTCATCTTCTTATTCAGAACCACTGGACAATTTCAGACTTAACACAGAGTATCCCTGGATGAAGGGGATTCATGTTTGTTCAAATTAAAGTGTCACTTCATCTTCTAAGGGGAGATAGTGAAGAAATAGTAAAAATTGGGTTGGGTCATTTAAAATTTCAAAAATCTCAATAACCACTAAGCCAGAGAAGATGATACTTATGTGAAAACTTTCTGACACAGTGTAGAAGGACTGAAATGATCTTTGAAATTTCGCTGATTAAGAACAAGAAGGGCCATAGTTACTCAGATGAGTCTTGTGGTCCATGGGCCTTTTGTTCAATGATTACTTTGAATGTTTGTAATGAGTCTATGAGGTTCTCTAGTATTATGGTGATGTCAGAAATAATCATAATTCCTAGTGACCTGAAAATGTTTATAATTTTCTAAATTTGATTAGGGCTATCGCAGCTTAATACATGTATATCATTAAGTCAAATTAAGATGATATGACAAAATCCTACCTTAGGTTTTATGAGGCAGTGGCATTTCAACCTGTCATGAATGATGTACTGTTTTTTTTTTTCTCTGATAAATAACTGCAGCATAGGAGATCAACATCAAACATTAGAAATAAATAAATCATTTAAATCTATATAAAAAGCTTGACATGAATTTATTCTATACACATTCATTTCTGGCTTGCCATGTGCCATGGTGATGCACTTGAGTCTCGTATTCATAACCAATTTAGTTCCAAGCTATACCCAGATAAAAAGTATGCAGTTTATTTGCTATGCATTTATGGCCACATTCTTTCTGATTTTAGGTTGTAAAAGAAGATGGACAGACAAAGAGGAAGAAGAACTGATGGAAGCATTTGGGATACAGATTAAGAAAAAAATGAATGTGTCCACCAAAGCAATCCGATATGCACAGTCAAAATATAAAACATTACGTAGCCGGTCAGAAGCGGTAATAAGATCCAAAATGAACAACATCATTTTAGGAAAAGTCCAAAAAAAGAGATAGACTACAAATGAAGTCTTTTGCAGGATTCATTATGTTTTAGAATTATTTAGTGAAGTTACATTTCCTGATCAACAATTGTCCATTGTCTTCTGTTGATTTTTAATCCATATAAAGCACAGTCAGCATCAGATTTTCATTTAACCACTTGAATTTCTCATGACCAAATCATTTCCAATATAAAACATGCTACAAATTTGTAATGTCTTTAAAAGTCTTAACTAAGGGGGGAAACAGCTTGTATTATCTCTGGGCACATGAGATTAAATTGTTTTTGTCTTTGTTTTTTGTCCATTAAACTGTTTAAAATTTTGAAAATGTTTCCCCTTTTACATCATGTGACTTTAAAATTTTGTGAAATACATCAACACCATTTTTAAAGATGTGAGGATCTTGTTACTTTTATGCAAGAGGACTATAGAATTAAATAGCTCATGAACACATCTACATGATTGGTTGAATAGTCTTTTTAACCTTGTACAGATCTACCTTTATAAACATGTTCACATACTTTTTGTCAGGCTCCTTTATTATTTTTATGAAAAATGAGAGTGAATCAGAGAGATAAAAAGGGTTTTAAAAAGTCTTTGAACTCTTTTTCCTCATACATGTTTATAATATGAGGATATACTTGTTATTTTTTAAGATATGATGAATGTAGAGGAATGAACATTGTGAAATACACATTGAACTCCTTTTTAATCCCAATGTAGGTTATTGGATGTCCCTGAATCTTTGTGCAGTTGTTGAAGATTTGCATGTTAATGGGATGCAAGGATCCAATTACCGAGTCCCAATCTACTTGGTCTGCACATACATTTTCACACAACTTCGTTTCGGATGCTTCACAGTAGCCTTGATTGCCGTCATAATTTAATACAATAACGTCACAGTAAAAATGATGTTTAATTGTGCTAAAATATATTGCTATTTGTGTGTATTGACTGTGTGTGTTAAAAGCTCAATATTTTGTTTGAATGAAACATTTTGATTAACATGATTAAAGAAAACAACTTAGTAAAAAAAATTATTATGAGATATTGTGAATTTTTAAGTAGATATTCATAACTTTATCTTATTTTATTTTAATTTTTGTGTTTAAAAAATGCAAAAAACAAAAAAAGAAAAACAAGAACAAAAAAAAGCATGTAGTCTTTCTCCTTGAAAATCTTATTTTACCAATTCTGTTGATAAATTAAAATATGCGTGCAGTAGATTAATTTCTTTTTAATTCTATGGGTCATTGAAATGCAACCAAAAAGAAATACTTTAGTTTCCTTCATATTAACACAACTTTGTAATTTTATGGCCTTTATTGCAAAAAAGATATGGAAACAAAATATTTCAGCAAATAGTTTTTTATAAGATATCAATTTGGCATATAATTGTGTGTAAAACCACAAAAAATTGTCCATATTTTGAAATTGCCCCCATTTGACTACAATCAAGGCAACAAAATTTCAATCCAATTTTTCATAGCATGTTACATACAAATATTTATATAAAAAAAAAAAATTCAAAAATATTTGCCTGTCCATTTTCATGATTTCTAACTAGATTGGACCTCGTTAACACAATCTGAGAGAAGTGATGGATAAAGTATATCATCTTTATAGCTGTATTCCTGTTATTAATGTCCCTATGTTGCGTATGATATGAAATATTAGAGTGAAGGTTAGATTTATACACTTGAAATATTAAATTTTTTAAAATAATTAAGTGAAGTTTTCAGCTTATACATTATTAATATATGTATAGTTTTAGTTTTACTGTTAAGCACCAAGTAGTAATAAATGAAATTATCATTCATGTTTTAATTTTATTTTTGATGAAGACAACAGGCATGTTATCCAGATATCCCCCCTTTTTTTTCTTAACAAAAATATCTGTGTCGCATGTACCTGCAGTGCACAGGGGATACTAAGAGAGACAAGCGCCCAGAAATAAATAATTTCAGAATTATTTGACTGTACGCTTTTGGAATAATATTTACCTCTTAATAGTACTTGCCATGGAACTAAAGAGTCAAGGTTGAAGTTTTTGCGGACAGACATACAGAGGGATGGATGGTCGGGGAAAAAACTATATGCCCCAAAATTTTCGATTACTGAGGCATATACATGTATAAGAACTGTTGAAATTATGGAAAATTATCCAATAAAGATGAAAATGTCAGGTCACATTTTCATATAGTGGACAATGAGGGTACAAATTTTCAGAAAAACTTCGAACTTAATTTAGTGTCATCAATGAGACGCTGGTGTCAAACATGCGTGAAAGCAAATGGTGGCCATACGCGGTATTAAGTTTGTGAATCTCCTTCCAAGTACCAGTGTCTTTCTAACGTCCTACAAGTGACGTTTTATGACTTAAACACAAATTAATTCCGCGTATTTGTAAACAATACATTTGTGAATCATGCTACTGAATTAAATGTACCTTCATTTGTATTTTATTCTTATGTTTTATGCTCTAAGTAATGCACAGTTTCTTTTTTCCGCTAGTATAGTATATTTTTAATAATTGGGTCTAAGACACAATAACATGAATGCAAAACCATATATACAGCTGTAAATTAATCTATTTCTCAAACAATATAATCATAGCTTTCAAGAGTAGCAGAAAGACAAAGCCTTCACAAATTACCGGAAATACTACTCGATATAATCGATCATAACTGATTAGACCCAACAGTTAATCTCGGAATATATATACGTTTTTCAATAATAGGGTCCAAGACCCAATTCCACAGTTTAAATGCAGTAGGTATATATACAGTTGGTAATCAATTTAGTCTCTTTTTTATGGTATATATAGCTTCCTGACGTGATTTTTGATATTATCAATCTGATCCCGTCTTCGCATAACGACAGATAACATTTGGCCCAATAATTCATAAATACAGAGCAGACCCGATAAATAAGCAAGTTTAAGTATATATATATATATATATATATATATATATATATATATATATATATATATATATATATTATAGGATCTCGGGAACTCAAGAAAGACATGACAACATTCCATCATTCTTGAATATTTTACATTGATACATCTTATCAGCAAAAATTCGAATTTTCTTTATCCGGAAGTTTGTGATTCCCAATAAATCGACCGAATCTGGAAAAAATATTGAGAATCCCCCTCCATTTTTGCCTAGAAGGTGAACAATTCAAATGCACTGAAGTACAATGTTAACAACAAAAAAAAGCATATCAATATGTTTTAAGACGTCGAATTGTGTCCATTTAACATACAAAAAGTAATTTAAACTAGCAAATACATACGATACTGTAAATTAACTATTATTTGCGACATATACATCTTTTATTCGCGATACCTCAGCTTGCAATCCATCCGCGACTACTCATTTTCTTTACTGAGGGAACTTTGTTCTTAAACCAATAGATGAAAAAAAAAAACATTCGCGAATCAAAAGATGTCGCAAAACTCATGGATATTTTTCACTCGCGAATAAAAGTTGGTTTACAGTACAACAGTATCACAAAAAACATTGAAAATTCTTTTGCATGATATGAATTTTATTATAGCAATTCATTTTTTCCTTCAAAATATTAATTTTATATAAAAATGAACACAGCTCCATTGATGTAAGATTGTGATTCTTAGCTGCGTTGAATAACATAAATGAATAACTAATTCTGTAAAATTAAGCGAAATGTTATTAGGATTATGATACAAGTTCCAATTTTGCTTTGTATGCTATCGGAAAGCACAGAATGTGATTTTTTCCAATCTTAATATTCAAGTTTAAGTGAACTGGATGTAAGCCAAAGAAAATCACGACATTCTGGTAACATACATGTATATCCTAAGTCATTTTGGGCAAGGCAGCGACTAATAAGAGTTTTGATAGTTTTAGATACTTTATAGGAATATTACTTCAAAACAATGGTTTTGTTTTGGTGTGAAACAGAGACATATAAAAAAAATATTACTATCTGGATGGTTTCCTCTTTGAATATAATGTCACTTTCTTGAAGCACTTTGTGTCTTTTAGGGTGGAAATAGTTGATAAATTAAATGGAAAACTCAATAATTGATGGGTTTTCCAAAGCACCCAGAATTAAATTCTTCCATGAATATAAACAATACATTCCATTTGATAAGATCTGCCATTTGAAGCTTGTTTTTTTTCCATCACAAGGATTCTAGAATGTATTATTTTGATCTGTTGTAGAATTCCCGTAAAAATAAAAGACTCCAAAAGTACAAAATGTGCAATGCATTAGTGTTTGACGAATTAAAGAAGTTGTTTTACGCTATACCAGGGCATCGCAGCTGCAAATCGTCGTCGACATTATTACCTACCTTTAAGTTAAATTAAATCGTGTGCAAGTAAGGATAGATACAATCAGACTCGTCATTCTTTGTATTATACTTGAGGTTAACAGATTAAATGAAATATGGAGTGTTACAACGAGAAATGTAATGACAACGCAAAATGTAATAAACTATAGGTTTGTTACATTTTGCCGTTACATTTTCCGTCAAGATCAACGCAAAATGTAATAAAACAAAATGTAATAAGACACGTTTATGATTATTATATTTTGAGTTATTACATTTTGCGTCAAGATTAACACAAAATGTAATAACGCAAATGTAATAACATTTTTGGATCATTACGTTTTGCGTTGTTACATTTTGCGTCGAATAAAAGTTACTTTACAGTAAATGGAGAAGAATGTGTTTCCTTGTTTTTATGAATGTTACAGTACCTTTCGTATAAAAAGTGAGAGAGGAACAAAGATGTTATGCAAGTTTTTAGTACAAATGAGGGAACCCACATCGCCTTCTTCTGTTCCAATGTCTATGTTAGTCTTTTAATAGTGTTAAAACCTCACCGTGTATACAATGCCCTCTCCCTATGTGCAGGTTTATTAGCCATATTATTATTACCCATATATGGAATATAAAAAAAAAATCGTAAAATCAAAGACGAATAAAGAAAAGCCTTTTTTCTGAACTCTTGTAACAAGTATTGTAATTTTGTCTGCGTTCATTCTTCATACGGTTTTACAAAAATAATATTATTTCTCTCTTTCTTTCTCTCCAGTAATAAATTGGATAGTTTCTGCAAGCGCATAAAATACAATGATCAACGTCCGAAGTAACCTCACCCCCCCCCCCCCCCCCGTCCCCGACACAATTAAACACACACACATACTTCTAATTTGTTACCGATGCACACATGTACGCCGTACATGCATATCAAAAGCTTTTAAAGGACCTATAGTTATGAATGTCAGTGATTGGATTAATAATACATACTGATTTATAATTAGACATGTCAATCAAAGTTAAGTAAATGTTTTTAAAATATTCAATAAAAATGTTAGAAACAGTATTAGAGAAAAGATACATTAAGATTTAGTGATGTCCGTAGAAGCCGTAAGGTTTACCTCATTGTCATAGGTCTGTTTGTCTATTTAGTAAAGCGAGTTTCCCCGTTTACATTGTATGGAGTGAAGAGTAACTGATTCCCCAGATTGTTATGCTATATTTTATTAACTTTAATGAATGTGGAGAATATTGCGAGTGCTGAGCTCATTCCCTTATAATCGCCAGTGTGGAGAGATAGTACCACAAAATGGGCTGTTAAAATTGGTTACATTTCTCCAAATACTTACACATATTTTTTCTGAAGCCTCAATAAACGATAGCTAGTGAACTTTTTCAAAAATAAAAAAAAGTTTTTGAATTTATTTCAAAACGTGCGTACTCATTGACTTACGCGTTCTATATACTTATATTTAATACATCTCTAAAATTTTAATAATTAATTATATTAAATACAAATTTAATGGGAAGTTACGTAGGAGAAAAATCCTACGTGTCATGTTCGCCTAAGTTATTTCTATAATGTGCCAATATAAACCCTCTAAATGCAAGGGATATAACACACCAATCAACGTTTCCTCCCCCTAAGCTAAGCTTCAATAACAAAAGAGAGATAACGCTAATAAAATATACAGACCATATAATAAATTAAATATTTATAAATATAATTCATTTGAAATTTCATAAACTATATATTTAAGCCGATTTATATAGTTTGATTGACTTATTACAAGGTAAATTGGACAATATTGTTACCACATCAACAAGCTCAAAATCACGCAACTGGCCCTACTGTTGCAGCCATTGTTTGCCAGCGCTCTTTGGCTGAAATATATAATTATACTGAAATATGCAAGTTTAGGTTCACTGTTAGACGTTTCATATTATTGTCTGAAGACAGGTATTATCTCGTTTTTCGAGGTTTAGTCTAACCTGTGCATACACAAAGGAAAATTATATGAAGGACCTTAAATACATTTTTTACCCCTTACCGACCCATCCACTTCACCACAATACCTAATCATATTTCATGATATTAGTTATAAGTTTGAATCAATTTTGTGGTGTTTTGCGCTGAAGAGAATACCAGAAAAGAATTTATATTTTGTGTTATTACATTTTTAAAATTATATTTATTATATTTTACGTTGTCCTCAACGCAAAAATTAAATAACGCAAAATGTAACAATCAAAAAGTGCGTTATTTTATTTTGCGTTAATCTCGACGCAATAATGTAACAGCGCAAAAATCGTGTTATTATATTTTGCGTTATTACATTTTGCCTTGATCTCGATGCAAATGTAATTACGCAAAATGTAACATCCCTAAAAAGTCTGTTTTAACATTTCGTGTTAATACATTGATCTCAACGCAAAATGTGATGATGCAAAATGTAATAATCCCAGTTTATTACATTTTGTGTTGTTATTACATTTTGCGGTGTAACAACTGAGATAACGAAAGTAATCATTAAATAAATAATATAAGTAAATATTCCCTCATTTTTCTTACTTCAGTGACTGTTATTTTTTTTATCTGTGATGTCATGCACTTTACATGTACATTGATAATAGTTTACATCTGAATAGGCTAAGTATTCAAGGCTTATATAGGTTATGCCTGATGCAATCCATTTATGTTTCAGTACATAATAAAATATGTTCAAATCAAAGTCGGGGCTTGGTTCCTGATTCAGTGGTCATGTAGTGTTCGATAATCGTTCCAAACGTCGTGTCACACCTAGTGTTAAACGTAGACAGTAGTTGTTCTTTCACCAAGCATACGCATTAGAATGAAAGTCACGAGTCTTTTAGGTGAGACCATAAAATGTGAGGTCCCTTGTGGACTGATATAAAAGCCTCAATGTTAGAGCCCTGAACGCCAGGCGAGAATCAAAATTCATAGGAATTCAATGAATCAGATTATGTCTCCTCATCAGTGAAAAATTCTCGAAATGACTGTAAGCAAAATGAAAATAATTAAAAAAATAACCATTCAAATTTCTATAATTCTAGAGACACTGATGTGCCAGATACAAATGGTTTTCGCCGCCTACAAACATTTACAGATATTTTGTTCAGATAATGACAATATATGCAGATGTATGATAATATATACAGTGAGGTAGATGCATACTGTCGCTGTCTACAAAATGTTTTGTCGTTTATAATGACCTTGTTTGGTCAAATATAAACCGACATATTTCACATTTATAATGCAATTGATAACGGTATGTATCACTGGTGAGTCCTCCTTTTATCAATAAAGAAATCTAGCAGAGGGAGTAGCTAGTTGAAAAATAATGCTCACTGGCTTCTTTTGCGATGACATGGGTCCGTGTGTTTACATTATTCTAGATTTGTATTGTTTATAGGATTAATGGATGGATCCATATGTATGTACTCCAAATTTTTAAGACAAAATGTTTTTTTTTTATGTTTTTTTTACGTTATGTATTGATCAATAGAAAAAAAATGAATGTACATGTATTTTCAAATAGAACCTGACACCTCCTAATTTTATTATCATTTATAATAATAATAATAATAATAATAATAATTATATATATATATATATATATATATATATATATATATATATATATATATATATATATATATATATATATATATATATATATATATATATATATATTAACAGAGCACTGAAGACTTGAATAATTATAGCAACATACATGTAGGTATAGATTCAAGTTAGGCTAAGGACTGTGCTCAATTTCGTACAGAGATTTATTTTTGGTTTAAATAAGAACTTTCAGTGTTGCTCCATCCAGAATATTTCAACAAATATATAACTATTAAGATTCATTTACAACGCTGTACATTGTGAATGATCCATTTACCTCATTGAAACGACTTTTTCAATTATAACTCTGCTCTACAACAAAGGAAATATAATGATCTATATATATAAAGACATACTCTGTGAAGACATATCTGAGTTTTACAGCAAGCCATTATCAAATATGTATATGTATATTGGTACAAATTTAAGTTTCTTCTTATTTTTTAGTACGTCCTTTGAACCAAAAAGGTAAAATCTGAAGAGAGACCTTATTTTATTTATTTTTTTGTATTACTTTTAAAAAAATCTACTTTCGATTTGAGAAGTATAAAACTTTGTCAGTGTGAAGTATGGTGTCCATTTCGAGTATTCGTATAAGTATCTTGAAAAAGGTGTGTCTAGTGAGATTGTGAATTTCACTAGACATACACTACAATCCTTTAATTTTCAAATGTTGACAGCCAAAAACATGCAATGTAAAGACCGAGTTTTGTAAATTCCCAGTTTTTTGTTAACTTTAAGTAATGGGTATATATATATATATATATATATATATATATATATATATATATATATATATATATATATATATATATATATATATATATATATATATATATATATATATATATATATATATAGTGTATCATAAATATATATTAAAGAAAGTTAGGAAGTGAGGAATCTACCAAAACATAATCTGAACAAGAAATTTTTGTAAAATTTTGCCCCGCAATGTGTATAGAAATTGTGCGTGCATTTTAATTGTAAATCGTATTTTTTTTTTTTTTTTTTTTTTTTGAAAATCATAAGTATTGATAAGGTAAGTAAAGATTTTATATGAATGAACAGAGAGATAATGAACCTTAAATGCAAAAGAAGGGTACATAAACTGAAGTTACACCCATGCGCTGCTATACATTTTTTTGCTGTTGCAATGGCATCGAAAACGGGTGGTAACGCCTGGATTGTGGCTGCAATAGATTTTGGAACAACATACAGCGGTTACGCGTTTTCATTTAGTGGCGACCCATTAACATTTTATTCCCCAGGAGTATGGTATTCCGGACAGGGAGGCATGTCTTCAATGAAGACTCCTACATGTTTATTGCTGAACCCAAACCAGACTTTCAATTCATTTGGATTTAAGGCGGAAGAACTATTCGCCTCACTGGCATCTGAAGATGAACATCAAGGGTATTATTTTTTCCAGAGATTCAAGATGGATCTTCATTTCAAGGTGAATATAAGTAAGAATGTTCCTTTTCTTGCTGCAAATAATTGGCAATCTTATAAAATGAAACCTAAGAATACTGAGTTTTTAGGGGAGCCGACTGGGGTTTTATTGTGTGAAAACTATTATAAAGAAACTTTAAAATTTTATACGATATGTACCTTACATTGATTTCAGTATACATGCAAAGTTTAGTGAAAATATACCGTCTGGTTATTTTTAGGAACCCTCTCAAAATACAAGTACATTTACTATAGGGTTAAATAGGAAAATACTATTTTGTCGCACTTCGGAGCAAATTATACAAATGCTACTGTAGACTTTTGGTCAAATTATATTATTTGATGAGTAATACTATATTGTCCATTTTATGCAAGAATCACAAAATTCTACCGTCTTGGGTCATCTCAGAATGTTAAAATTCATGACCATTTTCCTGTTTTTATGGAGTATTCAAAAACTTGACAGATACCACAGATTTACATAAAAAAAATAATATACTGATTGTGAGATTATCAATTTCCTAAGTTTAAAATTTCAAGAGCATCTATTTTATACTTTTTATTTTTTTGACATAATTAATGACACAAAAAAAAACTTTGATTATTCATAACTTCAAAAACACACTATTACGACGTCTATCTACCCATCATTTGAAAAATCCTTTAAGAAATGAGTTATTTAAAAATGTTATTAGATTTTTTAACCAGAGATTTCCTAAATTTATTAATTTTTATAAATTATGTAAACATATAGTTGCTTTAAAAGAGTAAATACGCTTTGTTTTACTATGCTGTGCGAAGTATTGCGCAATGAAAACCCCAGTCGGCACCCGTAATTGTTTAAGGTTACGTGAGTAACTCAGGTGAACTACTGCTATCTGTTTTTGTCCGTCGTCGTGTGACGTCTGTCGTCCGCCATGTGTTATCATTTGAACTTTTCCAGCTCCTCAAGAACCACTGTTCAAATTTCAAACAACTTTGGGATAAGGCATCAGTGTAAAGAGGGAAGATTGTGAATTTCGTGGTCCCTGCTCCCCTAGAGCATGAGGTGTGGAGCTAGAACAATCAAAATAAATGTAATCTTTAAAAATCTTCTTTTTTACTCCTGGACATCAGGCAGTCAAACTGTTGGCATTATTGTAATAAGCATTGATCTCTTTACCAAATTTGTGAAATTCTTGGCCCCATCCAGGGTCAGGGGTTTATGGTATTAGGGCTGAGCACTATAGATCATAAAGTAAAAATGAATTCTTCAGAAATCTTATTCCTTTTCTCCGTACACTGGCAGACAAAGTTAAAAGATTTTGATGATCAAGGGTGCCTCTTTCAAAATTGTCAAAGTTTTGGTCCAAGGGTCAGGGTTCTGGTATTAAGACAGGACTTGTTATTATTGGACTTGTAGTGAAAATACATTAATCTTTGAAAATTTTCTTGTCTGCTCCTGGATATTAGGTAGTCAAACTAAGGACATACATGTGCATTTACAGTGTAGTTATGATTAGTAAGAGTGCTTCTTCCACAGCTGTAAAATTCATGGCCCCTGGGTCAGTGATTCCGGAGTTATGACAGGGCTTTATTATTATATAATGAAAATGCATTTATTCTTTTAAAGTTCTGTCTTTGTTTTGGGGTATTTACATTTAGCAGAGCAACTTAGTGCATTTTTATATTGAAAAAGAGTTCTGTTTTCTGAAATTGTGAAATTCATGGCCCCTGGGTCAGGAGGTCTTGTGTAAGGGAGGGGCTCTATTGAGCATATAGTGAAAATGCACAATTTCTTTGAAACTTCTCTTCTCTGTTCCTGGTCATGTAGCAAAAATCTAAAAACCTATCTATGATGAAAAAGAGTCCCTCCATATAATTGTGAAATTCATGGCCCTGGGACAGGGCTTCTGGAGTTAACTCTTTCTGGAGTTAAGGCAGGGTTCTATGGATCATATAGTAAAAAAATATTGATTCTTTGAAAACTAAGTTAATTCGTGAAGAGTGAATCTTCCAAAAGTGTGAATTTCATGGCCCCTGGGTAAGAAATTCTTGAGGTAGCATGGGGCTCTAATGATCATATTGTGAAAATGCTTTAATATTTTGGAAGTCTTCTTCTTTGCTTTTGAGCGGGCAGCAGACAAATCAAGTGCTTTGGTATATTTATTAATTATTACGATTTTTTACTTTTTCCACTAAAATTCTAGTCCGTGAATGTTCTCAGAAATTGTTAAAGGTAGGAGTCTGACACTTTCAGGTATGTGATTTGTAGATGTGTGATGAAAACATTTCGCGTGTCGTCGCCACTTCCGGTCGTCACAAGAAGTGATTTAAAAAGGGTAATTTTTTTGTTCATTATTTTTCTATGATATTTAGAGGTTAAAGAGAGAGTCTTGTCAGAATGCTAAATATGTAATTTGTTTAAAAATTGATAACCCGTACTCTAGATATTTATTACTTGCTACTTTGATGCGATGGTGTTTGATAGCGTAATGGTTAGCGCGTTGAATTTTTACGCGTGCAACGCGGATTCAATCCCAGAATGTCCGAATTTGTTCACACTGTTGTTTGGGCTCAAATGTAAGATTTTATCTTTAAAAGGGAGGAGGCTATGTTGTTCAACGTCAGAGCAATGGTGCTTGACTTCACAATAGCAGTGTGTCTTTTTACTACTTCATAAAGAATTTGCAGTTGAATTTTACACTAATTAATTGCATAGATGCAATTGTGATATGACAAAACGAGGTAAATGTAAATGTAGCAAGGTACCTATGCTGTTGATTCAAAAATTAGATATTTGTTCAAATCATATTTTGAAAGTAGAATTGATTATTTTTATCTTGATTGAATAACAAATAGCAATTTCAAGCAGAGGGGAAAAAACTTCAATGACATTTAGTTCAGAGCAAGATTCGTCATAATTAAGAGCTCAAAGCGTCTTAACGCATAAAGGTATGTTTAATCAATGATATACAGTGTATGAACAAAATAAAACACAAAAAATCTGTACTCGAAACAATATGTACAAAAATATGCTTTCACTTAATACATCAGTAAATTGTCAATCAATTTGTTATGCGTGTGTGGTGCGGACTCAGGGAAGGGGTAACCAAATGCACGAAATCAGGTAAAATAAAACAAATTAGTGTAGATAGTCCTTAAATGTAATAAAAAATCTTATTTATCATCATTTTATATTTTGTACAATTAAGTGTGATAATCTCAAAGTTTAAAACATTTCGCACAAAAAAGTTTTGGACATAGGTCCCCCCTCCTTTAAATGATATCTTTTTCCGTTTATTTTTTCCGTTTCTGTTTTGCAATATTTTCAAAATATAAACGTTTAGTTATATTTTATGTATGAAGTTGTTACATGGAATGCACAACATAACAAGTTGTTTAGTGAGGAATCAACTTCTCTGAAGACAGAGAAGGGACGGAAGACCATAGCAATAATTTTTCTTGTGTTTCTTCTTTTACTTTTTTTTTAAGACAAAATTTTGTGCACGCGATTTCTCAAAAAGCAATTCAATGAGTTTCTTTGAAAGTTTCATTGATAAAAGTTCTTTATATGAATTTTATAAAAAAAAAATCTACTTTTTGATAAATTCGGTTCCAGTGCCAAGTTATGGTCAAATTTCTGATTTTAAAAAGAATTTTATCCTCAAAGGATCTAAGGTACGGCTAAAGATATGAACTGGAGACTTCTTAGATATGATAGAACATGAAACATGACTTCTCGATGTTCAAAATCACCTTTTTTTCGTCATCAGTACTTCCGGTCGCTACCGGAAGCTTAGTAAAAAAAGTCGAATTTTTCAACTTTTTTGTTTTTCAATATTTTGCTATGATATTAGTAAGGTTAATAGAAACATTTCTCAAAATGCTACATATATCATCTGTTTTAAAATTAATAAATCCAAACTCTGGATATTCATCATTTTTCACTTTGCAGGGTGGGGGGTGGGGGTGGGGGGTCCCAAAAGCATAATGGTGAGCGTGTTCGATTTTCATGCAGGCGACTCAGGTTCATATATACTATATTTAAGCAGTATTTTATTATGTAAGGTCAAATTACATAATTGGATTGGACATCAGGCATAGCCAATACAAGTCCTGTCCAAGAAAGAATGAGAAGTTAGAGGTATTCCATAACGGTAATGATGTTATAAGTATTTGCTTTTCAAGGAGCTTACCTGACTAAAGCAAGAAATATTTTATAGTAAGTATAATGTGCTAAATATTTCTTTCGCATGCCGGGCTCATCTTCTATAAAAAGAAAAGAAAACCACAAAAATACGAAAAAAACCAACTTTTTTTTTCAAAGACTGTTTAATAAAATTAAATGGTATCAGATTCCTTGACCGTCGTAGTGCGAGCCATGTTTGCTCCAACACTTTCCAGTCTTTTCATGAATGTGTAAGGTATCGGAATAGTCCACTTTTGGGGTTAACAGGAAAATGAAATATGAAGAAAACTTAGCAAATTCACTGCTTCAGCGTTACTTAAACACATACATTATGTTATATGTAAAACATTGTGATAAATACGCATTCTAAAGGTTCAAAAATCAGGCTGTAAGAAGATACTTTTAAAGATTTTTATTTGAAGCTATCACATCCATTCAATAGAACATACATTCCAAACAAAAGGCGCGAAAATTTACTCATGACGTTTGGTGCGAAATAATGTATCGTGCCCCGCCTTTATAGTAGACAAATGGACTGATGCAGTAGTATAGAAGTGTCGAAAAGGATTACACAGAGATGTCTGTGTTTGGAATTGCATGGAATAAAAAGAATTGGATGCATAAAGAATAACGGAAGTAAACAAGTCAATAGTTTTCATGAGTAACAGATTATTTCTTTTGTTAACATTTATTGTTAAAACGCAAGTAACAAATTTTGATATGAATCTGCCTGCACAAAAGTTGGCTGGCTAGCTTTTATCCTATAATTTTGTACTATGAAAAAAAAATAACTTGCCTGAAGCTTTTTATGTCAGGCAATGAGTGCAAATAAACATCGATCATGACTGGTATATTGTCCTGGTATAGTGGTTTCCAAGAACATTTTTCACGCAGGGATCTTGGTTTAATTCCGCATATGTCCGAGTTTTGTCCTCATTTTTAAGCTTAAATTTAGGTTTTCATTTTTTTTTTTATAAATGATGTTTGACGTTATTTTTCTGCGTGAATTCTGCGCTGTTTCCATATATATATATATATATATATATATATATATATATATATATATATATATATATATATATATATATATAAAGCACTAAAAATGACCAACGACACGAACAATAATAATTGTCAAATTTTCGGGACAACCTGTCCCTTCCTCAGGACAAAGAAAAAAGTTAAGAAGTCATATAAAAACAAAGGAAATAGAGAAGCAAAAACAACTAGCACTACTACTAAACTACCAAACACTAAATATTTACAATGTTACATGTTTAATTTGGAGTTTATAAACAGTTGTGAACAAAGAAATCCGGAGCGCTATGAATTGCGTCCGGTCTATCGGGTGTAGTCTGGTGAAGTGTGATTTACATAATTGAACGAATTAATTATCGCTAATTATCTTGTATCTACTTAGTAGATCCGACACTTAGGATATACAGTGTTGTTGGTTTTTAGTGCTTTATATATATATATATATATATATATATATATATATATATATATATATATATATATATATATATATATATATATATATTAGGGATGTCAATTTTGTCAATAATTCATATTCGAATATTCAATGAACGTATTCGAATATATTCGAATATTCGATGAAATAAATAGAATGTGGTTTATTTTAAATGTACATCATCATACTCTCATGGCAGGTTTTGGAAGTAAAATTGGATGTAGACTTTTGAAGGTATACAATAAGGAATTCTACATTTGATATTTGTCAATGTTTAAAATAAGTAATTGATTTAAGTGTATACAGCAGAAATATAATTCTACACAAGCTCAAACGGACGAACCAGTCGTCTCACCAGGGGCAAGATTGTCGTTTACTTAATTTACAGATTTAAAAATACACATAATTAATCACAATTATCTGCTTAATAAGAGATATATAGAGGATTTTCAATGTTTTGTAGATGAATATTGAATTTATTTCACGAGTGGGACAGGATTTTTTTTATATTTTCACGAGTGCGAAGCACGAGTGTAAATATAAAAAAAATCCAATCTCACGATTTCTACGAACATCTACAAAACATTGAATTTTCTGTTTATTACATTTTCTTTAATATTTCCCTTTGCCTCTGTCTTTTCTTAACACAGTGTCATAGACTTGACGTCATAGTTGAGCGGTTGAGACCGACGTCATAGCTTAGCAGTTGTGAGATTGAAAACAGTATATAGCATGGATTTTAGCAACACATTTGGGAAGAAATTTTCAGTTGTAGCTCTATCAAGATTTTAGTTACTATCTCTATCTTATGACAGGCCAGAAATTATTTTTTACTTACTTTGATATCCTTTCACACTGTGAGAGAATATCATTTTGGTATCCTTTCACACTGTGAGAGGATATCACTTTATTCAATAAATAAATCATAGTATTTCACTGTTGAAAATGTAATTAAATATGATCTTTGATACAATATTTTGAAAATATAAACAAACACTTCCATAGATAAGTTTCCTATGTCTTTAATTTTCTGATAATGATTTTAAAATTTAGGAATGTATTCAACCCGAGGTAATCAAGTAATTGATGCATTATTCTGAATTCCATTCATATTAAACTACTAAATGTACTTTTGTATTATACATTTATAATTCTTTGTTTTATACCGTATTCAAAATGAAATAATGTAGAAGATCTATAAAATACAAGAAAGTAGTGAAAGAAATTAGGGGATCGCTAGTAATTAAGACGGGATAATTCCATTACTGTTCTAATTAAAATATATTCTTTTTTTTCTTAAATCTGAAAACCACCGAATATTCGAATCTTAGATTCATATTCGAATATTAACTCATCGAATGAATATTCGAATGTTCGAATATTCGTTGACATCCCTTATATATATATATATATATATATATATATATATATATATATATATATATATATATATATATATATATATATATATATATATATATATATATATATATATATATATATATTCTTTTGAAATCCTGGTATTTTTTAAAGACCCCCGTTATATTTTTAGGTGTCTTTACTACGAGCACATATAAATGTAATTTTACATGCAAAGAATATCACATAATATAAGGATGGTTATTCAGCAGGAAGACCTCTCGTTGCTCGCAACGAGTATCTACTTACATGTATTTAATATAATTCAAAGACGAAGAGAGGTCATTGTGGGTGGGAATTGTTCAGTTGGCACTCTGTTAATATTGTGTACTATTGGTATGTTTGGTAATACTAATTAGAGGGTAGATAGCACTGTGCCCATTAAGGCAAATTCTGACTTGCTGATTATCTGACAAATTATTTTGTTGATCCCTGCTCATCTTTTTTCTTCTTTTTGAGTTTAAGTTTTCTTCGTGTTATTATATAGTTTTTAACCATTCGGTGGATCCTTTACAGGGTTGTATGATGCGCAGGTAACCTTTAAGGCCTTTGGGTTTCTTGTTTGCTTTTATGATGTGATCAAACAATTTGCTCACGTGATAATTTGCATTAAGGCCTGAGGGCGTTTATGCATGCATAAGATTAAAACCAATTATTCCTTATATTTGAAGACAGTTGTTCCTTTTATTTACGGTACATTTTACCTGATACTTAATTCGATTTTTTTAAAAAAAAAAGAAGACATTAATAATTACTTATCTTTATTCATTGATTTGAAATTTAAGTCTGTAAAGCCCACCCAGTGCCAGTGAGCGCATCAATTTAATTTCTCATAGCGAGAAATAAATTGATGCCTTTATGAGTTCAAATGATAACAGCAAGAATAACACTAATGATATCTTCAATTAACTGATAATTATTTATTTAAGTCAGTTTGATATTCATAATTGAATTAAGTATTCATAAAGGATGATGTGCCAAAACTTCTTTCTGAGGCCCCTTTTTCTACGGCGAATTATATTTATTCTACAACGATTTTGATAGTTTTCAAACAAAAGTGAACAAATACGACGCCTTTTGAATAGTTTCAATAGTTCCACCACATTTTAAATATGATGATTTCTGCATTATCTGTGATTTTTTTTAGACCCCAGGAGAGCAAAATTCGACTTGGTTTGACAATAGGATCTTTTATGAAAAAAGAATAGGCGGGTCTCAGTACAATAGAGAGGTATGCATGTCCGAGAAATCTACCTTATATGGCTATTGTTATTATTTCGGTCATTGTCACTTACCGAGAACAATTGTCCAATCCGATGACTGAACGACAAAACATGCTGGTTTACCACATGTTTACATTTTATCACGGACACGTGGCTTAGGTCAATTTACATATTATGTCTACTACATTTCAAACTTTTAATGGTCAGCAAAGGCTTTTTATACATGATAATACGTATGGAACTTCAGTGTTTACCGTCTTGGGTCGAGAAATTCACAATGAAACGTGTATATTCACTGATTCTCGGGAATACGTGTAGCCAATTGCCCAAGGACGCTTTACAAAACTATGAAATTATACAATGTATATTTACAAAAAAAAAATAGTTTGTAATTATGAGCACGGAAATTGTAGATTCGTGTCTAATCTGTAACTCAAATGAATAAAAAAAATTATCGGAAAAGAAGAAAAAATTATGCATTTTTTCGAAGCATTTAATGTCCTTAGAAATTTTGTAGTACTCACTCGTAATACAACTCATTTAGCTGATTGGTCGGTTAGAGAGTCACGCCGGTGCTTCGATTAGCATATCAATTAATTCTTACGTCAGAAAAATTGTTTCGTCGATCTGTTCGTAATGGAGAGGACCAGCCAGATTTTACAATATTTTAAACACAACATTTGAGCGCAGTTAGGTACAATGTTCTCCTTTCACATATAGGTAGATTTCAATAAAATACAGCAACCATCCGAAGGAGAAAAATATACCTACTTGCGCTCGTATATTTTAAGGGCTTAAAAGAGTGGGGCGGGGCCAAAATTCAATGGGAATTGGACGTAAACATGGTACCCCTACTCAAAATAAAGATAAATATCTTCCAAATTATGTTTCTATATTCGGTAAAAGTAGTATTCCATGACGTGATTAAGTAGATGCAAAAATTAGAGTAAAATTTAGATATTTTATTTTTTGTCAATTTACCGGGGGCCGTTTGGCACATCATCCTTTGTTATTCGTGCTTGAAACTACTTTGCACCTATCGATTGAGTTCTGTTTCTTGATTATTTTTTTGTTTTAGAATGTGAGAAAAGATTTATATATTGACGACGTATCTGGAAAATCGCTTTCAGCCTTGAAAATCTTTTCTCTGTCAATCAAATACCTCAAAGATCATTGCCTCAAAACAATGAAGGACAGAGGAATAGAACCCGGAGAGACGGAAATCAAATATGTCCTGACGGTTCCTGCCATTTGGAATGATCGTTCAAAAAAGTTTATGAGAACTGCAGCTATTGAAGTGGGATTAATTGTGTTATTCATTAATGAGATTAATATGATAAAATGTTTTATAACCTTATAAAAAAAATAATCTAAACTATTAAAATTTGAAACTGCATGTTTTATGGACAAAGAGAACTACATGTACTTGCATTTAAAAAAAAAATAATTTCTTGGAAAACAAATACACAACAATTACTGTTTTTGAAATTGAAGTGAAAGACAAACCTAATAGGTGATAATGATAATGATGATTATAGGCTGGTATAAAGGATAATCGCCTAGAGTTAGCTTTGGAACCAGAAGCAGCCTCTGTTTACTGTCAGCGAGTCCCTCTAGAAAATCTAAAACTTGGAACTGGGAAATCTATTACGGTTTCTGGCGCTAGATATTTAGTTGCAGATATTGGAGGTACATGTATGCTGCAAATTTAATCGAGACGTAATCTAGTCTTTAGTATTAATGGATATAAATATGGATTCATATACCTGTTCTCATCATGCGTACACAATTTGAATATTATCAACTATGATTATTATGAAGTAACTCAAATGAAAAAATAATGGTGAAGTTATAGTTTCCTTACCCATGCAACATCAATAACTAATACCTTATAAATGCCACATTCAAAAATGTTTTATCATACACTCAAATTTAATAGAAATTAATAACAATTACATTCCTGGTACTTATCATTATTGTTTTACCGTTTAATTACATGTAAATTGAAAACAGTCGTATTTAGGTGATAAACGTCTATAAATCAGGGTCATCGGAGGAAAATCTCCCTTATTAGCGGTCACTAAAACACTAAAACGTTTTAGGTGTCAATTCTCAAAAAAGCTATAGTTGATCGTAAGAATAAATTCAACGAATAGTTTTGGCGTTTATAAGTTAACTATAAGTGCGGATGTTGGATACTATTACATCATCGACATTCCTTTGGTAACGGACGTTCAATCCTTTAAGGTATGTCACTCGTCAGCCTTTTAGAAAATTTCAGTCAGAACCTCTTACTTAAAAACTATTTATTACAATTCAATCTTTATAACATGTTTAAATTAAACAATGTAAAATGTTCAACATTCAATTAAAAAACTGCTCAAAAATTCACAAAGAAGCAAGATTTATAAGGGACTATTTCTTGTGGCGGAAGGATATTTAGCAGAAAATTCTGCAAATCTACACATTTATTAAATTTAATATCTTGGAACTTAAGCCTCACATACTTTTACTCAGAGAATATTTTCCATTATGATATGCCTGGAATATTAAATATAGGTCTCAATTTATATTTTTATAACAAAATTTACACCTTTGCTCAACAAACATTGCCAAGAAATGAATATATATCAAGGAAGTTGAGATGAAATTTACACAGTTTTTTTGCCTGAAAATCACATATTTTGACCAATATTTGAAAATTTACATCACTGACCCCAACTTTTTCTTTCATTATTTTAAACTACTCGATACTTTCGACTGATCAGTACTTAAGTCGTAAAAAGTTTGATACAAGAAAATATTCTATTGCCTATTTAGATTTTTAATACCCTAAATATGAGACTTTTTTAGTGCAAAAAGGTCACACAAAAATTTATGCGCATTAATTTGCATGATTTGTTCAATGATGAATATTATTCAAACTATTTTACGTAAAATAAGATTATGTTTATTGCCATGTTTACATCTTATAAAATATGATAACGGTTAAAGTGATTAACCAAAGAGTTACAATTTAGGTGCAAAAAGGTCAACTTAATTGTACCGTAGCTCAGTTAGATGCACACTGACCCCCCATTTTCTCTGCGATTTTGAGTCATACTATATGAGTACATATCCAAAATATACTTCTCAAAAAATCCTTGATATAACAAATTTCACGAGTGACATACCTTAAGTATGAACTAATCAGAACGAAATAACCAGGGAAATTTGCCGAAAAGTAGCGAGGAAAGCGAAGAGGCTGACTCCAGACATCGAATGAATGGAACTATTTGTATTGCATTTTGCCTTCGTAATTATTTCAAATTATGAGCAACCTATCTTCCCCTTTTATTCAGTATTTTGAAAATAATTTCTTTGATCCATTATCTATTCCAATATTGAATATCACGTACTAGAAATTCACAACATTTTCAACTGCGCCGTACGCCATTACGAATTTTATAATAGATTCTGTTAGATGGATGTCGATTTATTTCTTTAAAAATACTATAATTTCCGTAATAAAATACTTGATATGTATAAAAAAAAGTGTGGTTGGAGGATACGATGCTTCTGAATGGCCTTATGGGGGGAGGGGGAGAAGCCAAAAACGACCTTTTTTCAAGCTTTTCTTTCCACCATGCAGAGTCTAAAATTTAAAATAAATTCTTCTTAAATCCTTTCTTGTGTACATTGTTGCATCAAACACCACAAATTACATATACTTACTGTAAATAATTTAATAATCACATTTTTAAAAAAAAAATCTATAATATGTTTAATAGACGCAATAATTGATCAGTTTTGTACTCACAACAAGTACTTAGCTTGAATAGGATTGAACCTAGTACGTCAGACCAATGGGGTGTACATGTAATATTGACCATCAAAATATGCATATTGAGGAATTCAAACTCGGAATCTCTAGATCTGCAACATAAAAATAATATATTTATTTTTTAGCAAAGAAATTTAAATGGATGTTTTTATTAGCATGTAAACATTGATAGATCAACAATTTCTGAGTCATGATAAAAATCTTTTAAGAAATAAATTCTGCATCAAAATGAAAATGCCTTGTATTCACAGTTCAGGCCCCGGGATCATGAGATAAACTTAAACTTAATTTAAATTTTCAATCGCCTGTAGAATGTTCATTAATCATTGAATTAATTTCTAAATTTGAAGATAAAATATTTTTGTGAAGCAATATGGAAAAATATTATTAATTTTGGTCTGCCTGACTTCTACAACATTTTAGTACAATGTAAAGATTTTGACTTAAGCTTAACACGTTTTATGATCCCTGGGCCAGATCTGATGTTCATTAAGCAATTGTCAAAGGATACACAAATTATTTCAAATAATTATGTACTGGAATGTTTTTTTTTATGTTCTGACAACCTGAACATTTTACTCCATAGATTTATAAACCTCCGGTTTTCATTATTTCTTTCAGGAGGTACAGCAGATTTTAGTGTTCATGAAGTTGACGAGGATGGCTCATTGACAGAACTCTATCGAGCCAGTGGAGGACCGTATGGAGGAATATACGTTGATGAAAAATATATGAAGATATACGATATTATTTTTGGTAAAGGAACGTTAGAAAAGCTCAGAATTGATGATATGGAAGAGTACTTGACAATCCTCAGAGAATTTGAAAACAAAAAACGTTCGATTACTCCAGATTTTCAGACTTCTTTTGTTACAAAGCTGTCAGCTGTGTTAAACGAAAAACGCTCTAAGGAGGACAGACTGAAAGCTATTCAGTCCTCCTATTTAAGAGATCAGGTAACATTTGTAAAAGACAAATTGAAAATTTTTCCTACTTTGATGAAGAGTTTTTTCGAGGACACACTCGGTCAAATCATCCAGCATGTTCGAAAAATTTTAGAGACTATTGAAAACATTCAGCATATTCTCATTGTTGGAGGATACGGGGAATGTAGTTTGTTACAAGAAATATTCCAAAAAGAGTTCCTGCATAGAAACATAATTATTCCCAATGAATGTAGCTTGGCTGTTATTAAAGGGGCAGTGTTATTTGGACATAATCCCTTAGCAGTATCTTCAAGAATCTTACGTTATTCGTATGGAGTAGCAGTTGATCCAAAATTTAATGACAGTGAGCATCCATTGTCGAATAAATACATCGACGAAGAAGGAGTCGCAAGATGTTATGACGTATTCTCACAGCTGATTTCAAAAAATACAAAGCTTCCTTCAACTGGATTAGAATTAACCAAAAAAGGACATCCTACCACAAAAGATAAAAAACACTACATTGTGAGATTATACTGCACGGAAAAGGACAATCCGAAAATAATCGATGAGAATTTTCTGCCACTTGGCCGACTAAGAATATCAGTCCCTGAACATGTGAAAGGAAGATGGAGTGCTGAACATGTTTTTACTTTTGGTATGACTGAAATCAAAATTTCAGCAAGAGTAATGGAAACTGGAGAAGCTGTAGATGGTACATTCGATTTGCTTGAATGATACTTTTTAAGTAATTTTCTGAAACACTTTCTGCATATTGGTTTAAGAGATCAATATTTATAACAGACTCCGATTCATGTGAGCGAAATTATACATACATATGTATTTGTAATCAAAAAGAGTCATTAGAGAGTAGAGTTTTAACTGCTACATGTTATTAGCGTTGACTTTTACAACATTCCTAATATTGGGCTCAAATACATATATGGATGGGTTGTTAAAAAATTCTGTTGTGAGTGCGCAATGAAACCAATAAAACTCAAAAACAAAACAAAACAAAACAAAAACAAAAACAAAAAAAACAAAAAAAAAAACAAACAAAAAAAAAAAAAAACAAACAAAAAAAAACAAAAAAAAAACAAAAAAAAAAAAAAAAACAAAAAACAAAACCAAAACAAAAAAAACAAAACAAAACAAAACAGAAAACAGAACAGAAAAAAAACTTTACGTATTTATACGCCACGCAACAAGTTGCAGGGGAAATAATGTTTTGTTGTCAGCGCAACTCCTCTTAAACCGCTACACAGAATATGGTCAAACTTTGCAGATATTTAGGACACAGTATGTAGATGTGCATATTACCAGGAAATTCCGATTCCTTTATTTTTTCTGTGAATTTCGGCACTTTTCAACTTAGATTTTTGGCCATATCTTGAATATAGAGATGAGCAGTTTGTCAGCGCAACTCCTCATAAACCGCTGCACAGAATATGGTCAAACTTTGCAGATATTTAGGACACAATGTGTAGATGTGCATATTACCAGGAAATTCCGATTCCATTATTTTTGCCTTAAGAGTTTTGCCTATTATTGAAGAAACTTTCCAGCTAGTTAATAAGGAAATCCACTGTAATCGGCTTTTGTAATGAAATATTTTATGACCTTAAAAGACCCCTATTGATTTTGAGATCAAAATATTAATGATTTAACACACACACAAAATCTTGGATAGTCCCCCCCCCCCCCCCTTCACTCAATTGTTGCTTTGCCTTAAATAATTTCAGAAGTACAGTATATAAACAAATTCATATGACTACATCATAATTTTGTTTCCATCAATTATTTAAATGTGTAAATTGTCATGTGTTGGACATGGACTAACACTCATTAACAAATCGAAATCACTGAAAAATTTAAATAACAGTTTGTCAGCATAACTCCTGCACTAAATTTCCTAAAACTTTGTAGGTATTTCAGACACAATATATAGATTTGTATATTACCAAGAAATTTTGATTCCATTATTTATCTATAAACTTCAGCCCAATTAAATTTGTAACATACAAAGATTTGAATGTCCTTATATGCAAGAAGTTTTGATGTGATGATTTTTTGCAAGTAATGCCCCTTTTTGAATTATACTGTGTATTTAAAATGCACTGTGTCATTCATTACGTGTTGCATTGTCGAGTTTTGGGGGAGCGTGGGGTATGTGAGCTTGTTCACTTTTTCTTTCATTTTAAAAATAAATGTCCAAATGTTTGAAGCTATCCAACTAACTGTAAAAGTATACTGTCTGAAAAACACTGGCCCCTAGAAATTGCATGTGCAAAAACTTTTTTTTTGGCAAAAATTTAGATATGAAAGAATTAATGTATTTAATATTTAAAATGTATGCAAGATTTATGATGGCATATTTCTGCCCCCTACATGCAAAATAAATTATGTTCACACGCAAGAAAAGTATGTCAACGTGCAAGATAATTATGTCGACATGCAAAATAATTAGGGACCAGGCAAAATTTATTACAGTGATGGAACCGGTACAAACGGGCATGGGACAATGATTTCTTTCATTAAAAAAACAATGGGACAAAAACATTTTTTAGTAACAAATACCCATGGGACAAACACTTTTTAAAAATGAGTTACAGTACTAAACTCAAGAGAGACATTTATTATTTTAAAACATATTTTATTTCTTTCAAACACAAAACCTAAAAAAAATCTTTGTATCTTTTAAAATCAAACAAAGGATACAAAGTGCAACATAAATCTTCAAATTAATACTGCACACAAAATTTAACAAAAGAACAACAATGATAAGAAGAGTAGGGATGGGTATCGCCAAAAATTTATCATAGTTTTTTTAAAAAAATGTCGTATTTTCAAACATTATTTTAAACATGATTTTCAGTGAATTTCCATAATTTTCCTAAAATATACAGTATAAAAACAGTCAGCGAGAGTGATGATAGAGGAGAAAGTGATAGTGATACAGGGGAGAGTGGAAATGAGACTGAGAAAACTGACAGAGAAGAGTATAGGACTGAAGTAAACAAGAGGAGTACAAATGGTCAATTACATATTACAAACTCGAGAAGATCAGTAAGGTTACCATCTTGGTTAAATGATTTATATACTCTTTACTGTATTAATAGGCTTTGGGGGGTGTATAAGGTGATATTAAAAATACATCAATGTTTTCACATACCTTCAAATCTAATCTTAGGAAAATCATAATTGTTAAAGCAAAGTTTTTTTTTTTTTTTTTTTTTTTTTTTTTTTGAGTGAACAAAGGGATTATAGATTATAAAACATTTCCCATATTCAATATTTGGCATTTTTCTCTCATATAGATGCAGTTTATACAATTCTCTAAAGTGCAATGTCTGTTCAAATTATTGAAAAAGAATCATTAGAAGCATGACAGTGTTTATTGGTGGAAAGCATCTTAAATTTCTTTGTATCCATGTTATACATGTATACTAATATATAAAGAATAATTGTTAACATTGTACTTTTTGTTATTTCTGTTGCAACAATCTCACGAACATCAAGATGTACATGTATCCATGGGACAGTAGCTTTTTTTGTTAGTCTAAAGGCATAGGACACATTTTTTTTTCAATATGAAAACCATGGGACATTTTTTTTTTTTTAATGAATTATTTTTTTTTTGTACCGGTTCCATCAGTGTGATAAATTTTGCCTGGTCCCTTATGTTGACATGCAAGTTACCCATCTTTGTTGAGAATCTAATTTTAAAGTTGGCAAAATTACTTTCTAACGCCAGTATATGACACCATACAAGTAAACTGCAACAGAATTATGTTGACATGAAGTTTTATCATTCTTTTGATGTATCGGGTTCCTGTGAAATAGGAAAGGGAAATTTTTCCCCATATTCTGTTTTGATTTCCTAAAAACAATGCTTGAAAATAGGCTAGATGATTCATTTGGTACAAAATGTCACATTTTTAAACACGTTTTTCTAAAAATTTGCTATCTCTGGGTCATCTCTCCATGATTTTCAAACGTTATTTGTATGCATTCTAATTCAAAGAAACAAACAATCATTTGTAAAAAAAAAAAAAAAAAAAAAAAAAAAAAAAAAAAGGAGAGAAGACCCAGAGACCATAAAAAAATCAACTTTCCCCCCAAAAAATTCCAATGTGTAATGCGGTGCTTCATTGTCGTTTTAAAATCCAAGTTGTATGTGTAGTGATGATAGCTCAGTAGTATGCGTTTCCCATCCAGTGCAATTGAGTGGGAAATTTTTTGGTTCGATCCTCGCACGGAGCGTTAATAATTTTTTTTTACTGCAAACAATCAATTCTTTTGTCAGTTTATTTTTTTGTATTGATTTATTTTGAAATGGATAAAATCTGGTTGTATTGCATCGAGAGCGAAAGCAATTCTTCCAACCTACTGATACTTTGATATACACATGTACTTGAAATTGCATTTAACTACATGTATACCCTTATCAACTTGTAGTTGTTTATTATTTATGTGAAGCATAACTATGTTATAGTTTGATTATTAAGATAAGCGGACCTAAATATTACAATTTGACATGTTATTTCAAACAAAATGTAACATTTTCCGATGTGCGTAACTTTGTAAAGCGTGTCCAGCTGTGGTCAGCCGACCAAATCGTGGACATTTATACTATAAATGTTTCGTACACATGATTCCTGCAGATCACACGCCAAATACGCCCATCTTCTTTTTCTATTTTTTTTAGGTAGTATATTTAAATATTTTTCAAATCCAATCTCTGTTTTGAAAATACCATTTTATGACCATTGGACGAATCGCATATCGCTTTGCCATTTCTGTATATACTGATCTTTGAGACGTTGTTGAACTATTGCTGTTAACCATTAAATATTTATAAGAGCTTGTTCATTCCATACATCTGAGTATCTACAAAGATCAAGTATATTTTAATACAAGAAACCCAAGGGTTCTTTTGAATTCCTATATGAAACTGCTCAAATAAATACTTAATACTTATATATAACACATATAATCTTATTTTCAATACTTATCAGTAATTTTGCCCAATGGAATATCATTCTTCTGTTAAATTCTGTTAAATGCAAAGGGAAGCAACCTGTTTCTTCATAAACCATATAGCTTGGGGCACTACTTTTCAGATTAAATATACATGTATATTTAAAAATTTTTAGATGAACGAGTTCGATTATTTCAAAATTCTCAAAACCCCATATCTCACACCCATATAAAAGTACTAGTGTAACAACCTTATCAAACTAATCAAGCTGACAATCTACTGGTAAATTAAATTGTCTAATTTTTCGTATAATGCCATACATGGCTTTTTGGTCTTGCTCACATAACTTTTTTTTAATCTTAAAAAAAGATACCACCTGGAAAATAATATACCTAGGTATTTAAATTCATTCACAATTTCAATAACAGAATTTTTGTAGTAATATAAATTTTCAGATGGACCTTTTGAAAAAATCAGAATTTTAGTTTTATCTACATTGACATTCAATTTCCATTGTGTACAGTATAAATGAAACTCATTAAGAGCATGTTGTAAACCTTCTGCAGACTCAGACATAATAACTGTATCGTAGGCATAGTACGAAATAAATAGTTTCAAATAAAGTAAGAATTGATTTCCTTCAGTACTTGAAATGCTTGGATTAAATGAAAGTCCATGCACATTTTTGTTGGTGAGAAATTCTTCTAAATCGTTAATATATATAGAAAACAGGAGAGGTGATAAATTTTCTCCTTGC